ATGAAACAAAGTTAGAGAAGCAAAATAGAAATCAGAAAGACTCAGGAGTAACCAAGGTCATAATTCTGGCTTTGACATGTAATGAGAATAACCATAATCTTGGAATGCTTACTAAATTATTTAATCTAAATCAGCTCAAGTTTTTTGTGACTACTTCTTGACATATCAGTAAGAGATTTTTCCTTACTTTTTTTTTTTTTTCTAACAAGAATATATTTAAACATTAAATCTCAGAATAACAAAACAATTTATTATAGAGTCATGGTGTAAAATATGTTTGTTGTTACTGTACTGGTACAATTAGCTCAGCAGGTGACTTAAGAACATTTTCCTCTTTAAGTTAAGATAACTATAAGTACCAAGATGCAGGATATTCTTATAAGACTATTCAATAATGTTATTAACCCATGTTTGCTTGAAGAAGACCCCTAAAAATTTATTCTTGATACCATCCCTCCTCCAGAACTTTGCATGTATGAACATGTTGTAACAAAAATTGTTGACATTCTTTTTGTCAATGAGGGCCTGAAATCCTTTTTTTTTTTTTTTTTTTTTTTTTTATATACATGCATATCTTCATATATATGTATATATATATATATATATATATATATATATATATATATATATATATATATATTCTAATTATATACTAAAAATGATTTAGTTGCAAAAAGTTGTTTTGGCATACTGCTAAAATCTACATACAGTAAAGATATTTTGCATTATATTGAATTTTCGAAAAAAAAAAAATTTTAAGTGCTATGTCGTTGCAGAGACTAGCAAAAACCACAGATTGAAGCTCCGAAAAGCGGTTTCTACCTACAGCTCTATCAGAATTTAAAGTAATTAAATACATGCATGTTTTAACTTATTTATATAATATATATCTGTGTGCAAAAGGAGAAGGTAAGTCATGAAATTACGGCAGAAGCAATATAAAATTAGTGCAGTTGCAACTTGTTTGGCTCATTTATTTTTCTCATTTTCTGTTTAATTTAAAAATAATTAAAAAAAAATTTATTTTCTGTGCATTTTATTTTGCTTTGAAACCTGTAATGTATAGAACAGACCCAAAAAATAACTATAATAGCACATTATCCATATAACTATATACTATTAAAGGTATTTTTAAGGCAAAGACAATGAATAATCATGTGGGTTTCTATAATATTTATAATAAGAGAAAACCTAAAATAATAAAAATGATACTGTTTTTTAAACACTTTTTTCTGGATTTTCAAAAATATTAATTTTGTACTAAGAAAGAATGCTTACAATTTTATTTTCAACACATTTCAGACCAGGTTTGATAATTAACCAGGGCCAGGGCCAGGGCCAGGGCCGGGTTTGATAAAATATAGCTGGGGCCAGATTTGATAAAATATTGCCGTTGTCGGTTTTGTGACCGGGGCTGCATAAACAATTATTCATCCTAAAGATTTCTTTTTTAATTCAAAATTCATGTTATATTTTGTATATATGTGCATTTATAAACATCATTATGATCAACATGATCATCATAATTGTCATTATTATCATGATCAGGATCATGATCATCATTAGATCATCATCATCATCATCATCATCATCATCATCATCATCATCATCATCATCGTCATCAACAGTGTCATCAACAAAGTAAGTCTAACATTTATTCTCTAATTCATGGGTCTGACTTTTTACTTCTCTTCAGAAATTTTTTTTTACTTCTCTTCAGAGTTTTTTGCAAAAAAATATTACTCTAATTCAACTCTTAAATCTTATGGCCACACTCTTCCTGCCAGTTAAATAGAATAACCCACTATACATTAAAATCACTATGGTTTCTAATGCTAAAGTTAATACTCAATTGAACACTTCTACAGTTTGTGCTCCAGGCAAGATTTCCATCATAGTCTAAATAAGTATTCTCCAGAATTCTCTTCATTTTTTGCTAAACTTTTGAGCTATATAAGTGGTTCCAATTTTTCAAAACTCTAGAAAACGCTTTGACCTCTCTAACTATCCTATGATTATTCTTCACTCTGTTATTAGTTTCTTTATATAAAGTTTTTAAGAATAATAAATTATTTCTTTCTAACTGTGAAATTAAAGTTATTCTTGAAGGCCTACACTCCCCTTTATTTCAAGTAACTTTAAGGGTACCACAAAATTCTATCTTTGCTCCTGTAATGTTTCTTATCTACAATAACAATCTTCATGAAAATTTTACATTTAAAATACCTCTATTAGCTAAGGACTCAACTTTTTACTCTTGTCTTGATAAAAAATCTTTACTTTTTGATTGCTTAGAACAAGCACTGGTTTTTAATCTGATCTCTCTTCTGTAACAGCCTAAGGCTTGCAGTGGCTTGTTGGTTTAACTTAAAGGCAACAAAACTCATTTATTTACTGCAAAAAAATATTGCAATATTGTTGGCATTCCTATATTGATGAATAACAACCCTCTTACTCTCAGAAAAAGTCTAAAAGCACCTTGTAAAGGTAGTCAGACTTG